AATTCTGAAAATTCAGAGATATATATATCCCAAGTTGCTGATTCCAAAAATATAGCATGTTTATGATAACGGAGCAATATTTTCGGAAAATTCGTTATGAAATTCGAACTTTTTGAAATTTTTGAAAATTGCAATATTTAAATGGATGATTCTGGAAAAACGGTTGAAGTTATCGAAGAAATGAAGCTAGAAGTGACTTCTGTGGCCCAAAATCTACATGGAAATATTTAGTTAAATTTCGAAAATCGTCGAAGATGGGTCGAAATTTGCATAAAGAAGATAATACGAATATTATCCATTGTTGGTTAAGAATACTTTATTTCAGTTTAATAAAATTAAGGTTTATTTCTTGAAATTTGTTTTCAGTAGTGTATGAAGTTGTTCAGTGCCCTCTGAGCGCTTTTTGGGAAATTCGCTGATGTGAACAAATTGCTAATCCGAACACACCTTTCCCCAAATAATTCGCATTATTGATGTTATACTGTATTTAGAAAATAAGTGACGATTAAATTCAGTAATTATCATCCGCCACTGAGTCCCGGCGATCCAGGGCATCAGGATTACATTAACTAAATTTTGTTTCACTTTCTTGATAGTCGAATATGTATACCCAGCTGGAAAAATATCGTCTTTATCTCCCTTTTTGTGTATTGGTACGAACAATCAGAACAACCGATAAATTTTGTTCGTTATCTTTAGCAAATTCAGTGTCTTTTCTATTTTAAATGCTTCCCATTTTAACTATAGCGTCGCACCATTCGCTACCAGAAATTCTACTATTCCCATGCGTTGATCCTTACATGCTGCGGAAAGCGGTGTCGAAGCTTCGACAATTTTCTCGTGGCCATTCGAGGAAGCTGCATAAAGCGGTGTCCATCCGTGAATATCAGCGTGATTGATTTCGGCTCCGTTTTTGACTAGGCATTCAACAATCTTTTCGTGGCCGTTTGACGAAGCTGCGAAAAGCGGTGTTTCGTCATAATTATTAGAGCGATTGATGTCGGCTCCGCATTTCACTAGGCATTCGACAACTCCTTCGTGGCCGTTCGAGGAAGCTACATAAAGCGGTGTATTACCATAAATATCATCAGCACGATTGATTTCGGCTCCGTTTTTTACCAAACATTCTACAATTTTTTCGTGACCGTTTGACGAAGCTATGAAAAGCGGTGTCTGTTCATTATTATTAGTGCGATTGATTTCGGCTCCGTATTTCACTAGACATTCGACGATTTTTTCGTGGCCTTTGGACGAAGCTTCGTAAAGGGGTATCCGATTGAATAAATGAGCGTTGTTGACTTCGGCTCCGAATTTCAACAGGCATTCGACAATTTTTTCGTGGCCGTTTGAGGATGCCCCGTAAAGCGGTGTCACATCAAACACATCAGCACGATTCATTTCAGCTCCGTTTTTCACTAGACATTCGACAATTCTATGGTGGCCCATTGTGGAAGCTATGCAAAGTGGTGTCCGACCATACTCACCGGCGTAATTGGTTTCGGCTCCACACTCGACTAAATATTCCACAATTGTTGGGTATCCAAATCGGGAAGCAGCTAACAAGGGGGTTTCATCACTATATAGACCAGCAAAATTGACTTCGTCGTAACAAGAGCGAAAATTTTTGGAAACAACCTTTTTAATCGTTTTGTCGTATCCTAACTGGGCTGAATAATACAAAATATTAATTCTATCACTTTTACGGTACGATCTTTGGAATTGCAATTTTCGTGACTGTAATAATTCCAACTCAGCCCCCAAACTTTCACTTGTTCGACAATATGCTAAGGGGGTGATTTTAAATAGGGAATCTTCGTCTGAAACTTCACATTTTTTCAACAAAAACCGGATTGCGAGCAAATATTCTCCTGTTTCAAAAAAATCCCTAAACCCTTCGTAATCGTCCTTGATCACGTAACCATCACTTCTTTTTTGTACCTTTAAACGTGGATGTCGTTGTCCCCAAGAACAAATGAGATGTAAGGCACTTCTTCCACAGTCGTCTTTACGATTTATTATTTCGTCGTTATAACTCTTTAATTCTTCAAAATTTCTGTACAAGATCGCGATGTGCACCGGTGATTTTTTACCAACTAACATGTCGAAGAAAAACCGTACATTACTATACTTTCGATCAAAAAATATGTCTCTGCGTATCTTTTCAAATTTTTTAGAAAAATACAAGGCAACGAAATACTCGGCAAAGGAAGCGTGCACGAAATGCGGAACGCCGTTTTGAAACGCAGTTATAATACCAACAGTTGCGCATTCTTCAGAAAGTAAATCCACATTTTGTGGACAGTCGATCTTTAATTGTTTCAAAACTTCATCAGGAAATATTATTTGAAATGCGAACTTCTCATACTGCTTTATTTTTTCTTCTTTCTTCCTCCTGACTTCTGCTTTCCAATAATCACCCATGACGGGTACTTTGCCTTCGAAAAAGAACGTGAATTTTCCATCAATGAAGTAGCGGTATAAGTCAGTCAAAAGAAACTTGTCGTTCAATAATTCCAAATATGTGTCTTTATTTTGAAGGAATATCTCTGTAAGCAAAAATATCTGAAGCGGAATTCCCAAAATATCGATGTGTTTTGTAAATGCAAACGTGGATTTAATTTTCTCGATGGTTATTTTCATGTCGTCGGACGAAATAAAACTGGAAAGACGTTTCCTGATGTAACTTTCTTGCTCGAGCTCGCTGAACTGGTTAATACTCATGGGCAACACATTGAATTTTTTTTCAAAAAAAGAATTCAAGTGTTGTCTTGAAGTAACCCACTGAGCGAAATTCTGTTGTGATAATAAAAGAATTAAAATTGAAGTAGGGTCTAAATTTTTGGTTAAAACTTCGTCGAGGGCGTCCCACACGTAAACTATGTTGTTTCGTTTCAAACACATTTTGAAAAATTCGTGATCTAACTGGTCAAGGTGTTGATATTTTTTGTGCAATATAAATGATTCAAACCGTTTTACGTAATCTGATATCTCGCAATTTTCTAAAGTTTTAACGAACAAGTTAACATCTTGAGGAATCATAATCACGGTCCAATATTTGGGACAACAGTTGTTTTTTAAACTTTTTGTTAACTCAGTTTTCCCCATGCCCGGATCGCCCGTTATTATATTAACATTGTTGCTAAACTCGACGCGCCACAATTCTTTCTCATTTTCGGAAAAATTACTTAACTTATAATTTCGCAGTTCGCTAACGTCGCCTCTACTTCGTACCCATTCTAAATTTGTGTTACTCAAGAAATTAAAATAATGTACAACTTTGAAATCCGGTGTTTTAGAACATACTTTTTGAAATTCGAATTCGCTACATTTACTTTTACTAGTTATAATAATTGGAGTCTTGGAGAGTTCGGAAATTGTAGCACTAAAAAAGTCGTTTATGTCTATTGAAATATACTTCTCAGATATCTTTAATTCGTCAAAATTTTCTTCACAAGTCAAAATAATAACAGTGCTTTGATTAACATTTTCTAAATATTTGATGTCTATAATATTGAGCGACAAATATCTTTCGATATAAAGATTTGGAAAAATTTCCTTTGGTCCGTCTATACAGCATGCACCATTTGACATTTCTAAAAGTTTGTTCACAGTTACATGTTTCAAAATTTCTTGATTTTGTTCGAAAGCAATCTTTAAATTAAATGCGGCTTTTCCCTGCAAAGAAATGGTAAAATTTTGTAACACTTTTTCATGTAATTCAAGTTTTGACTCTAAATGTGACAAGTTTTGAAATACGGAACGATCGTCCATCCATTGTCTAGATTTTCCTTCACCAAGCAAAACAAACTTTGCATCACGGCAAAGCTGAACCGCTTTTTCGATATTTTTGTGATCTTTTACAATCAACGGACTTTTGTCCATCAACCATAACAATTGCGACAACACATTGTCGTCAAGATTTTCGACAGTAGATATATAGACAGAAGAAATAGAATATCGTGATCGCACTTTGTTTAGTTCTTTGAGATCAATATTTTTGTTCAAGTCGCCCCACAATTTTTTAACTTCGTTGCTGGCTTTTTTTTTCAATAACGTGATGTCGAATTGATCAATAGCGTCTCGAAGGATCCTCATTTCGTCAGTGATCGGACCAAAAGCAAACGGTTCGATATGAGGAGAAAGCAGACGAAGTGCGATTAAACGTTGCGTAAATTTTTTGCTTAGTTTTTCCTTCTTTCTTTCTTCCATACTCCATTCCGATATGAATTTAAAATATGCGTTGAATATTTCTTCATTACAACAAAACATCTTAGTAAATATACCCATTGTTGATGTCGTAAGACTTTCCAGACGCTCTTGGTTGGTGTAAAGACGAAAGCGTTCGAAGAACGATTGATATTGTTGAATTTTTTCAAGATTTGCTTTAGTCCACTGGTCTTCTATGATTTCAAATTTGTAACAATAATTTATATTTTTAGAGATTCCTAAAACCTCGTCACTGTTTTCTGAAGCTGAAACTTGTTTCAACTCTATGTAAAACTCTTCTCCTTCGAGTTTGAGTTTTGTTTTGTTTGATATATTAAATTTGTTTTTGGTGAATAATATAAATTGTTGCGCTTTGTCCTGTATGTTTTTGGTAGAGTTGAAATATTTGGTTATGCTAAAATCTCCGTTTTTTTTAGCTAGTTGGTCTATAATAATTAATCTTCCTCGAGTACTGTGTTTTAATTGTATTGCTTTTGTGTGGGTACCCCGATCTGTCTCAACTTCGATAACTACATCGTCGAAGTCACCGAAACTTGCATCGTTCGACGAAACGTAGAAATTTTTTATCTTACTGTCGCTTACCATTTGTAGAATGATGTGAGTCATAATCATAACTTCGTACTTTCTTCCTTTATCGGTGGTACCAGGTTTTTTTTGAAAACTCTAAAAATAAAACAACATGTGGTACTTTAATGTCGCAGAAAAAACTGTAATCTTTGTCTTTCTTGACTATAACTACCATATTAAAAAATGAATTTCATTAACAGATTTACCTTTTCAAAAAAAGTCTTATTTGTTGTTTCTTCATCTATTCTTCCTCCCTTCTTTGGATGCATACTTTTTTCAATGGCATCTTTGCTGTACTGATTCTCTTCCAATACCTTTATTTGACCCTCTGGGGTATCCTCAGTCGTGAAATCTGTCTGCTGAAAAAAAAAATTTTTAATTGTCTACAAGAAAATAAACCACCACTAAAGCGATGACGTCACTTCTAAATTGTACATAGTACATGGGTTTTAAATTGCATCAAATAACATAGTCATATACATGTAGTTTATGACACCGAATAGAGATTTTACCCGAAACGTTCAGATTTTTGGAAAAAAATCAAAATTAATAAACAACTTTTTGACATTTAATTTGGAATCTGCAAAACCGAATGATTTGAAATCTTGGAGATGTTTTAAAGTTATCATAGACATGGCAAATTTTTGATCGAAATATATTTGCCCATACAGAGTGAAAAAATTAATAAATCAGTCAAGTTATTATTGATCAAATTACGAACGAGCCGTGACTTCCAGAGTGAAGGCGAATTTATTGAAATATCCAGTCAGAGAATTCTAATGAGAAGAATCTACACTAGACATAAAGACACGGTTCTGAAAGGGAGGAAACTATAAAACATCTAAAAAATTTGTTTCTAATTTTCAATTTTTGGATTTTTCGATTTTTCAAAATTTCGGTTCGAATAAATGTGTTCTTTTAGTAAAAATTCGAAAAATAACAAATAAAAATTTTAACTTAAGAACTTGTATAATTAAAAATCAAAAATTCCAAAATTGTAATGTTAAAACTTGAAAAATCCAAAGATTGAAATTAAAAACTGCAAAATTGTCAAAAAAATGATCAAATGAAATATTCAAAAGTTGAAAAATCTATAAACTAAAAAAAAAATTAAAACAGAAATTTCGAATTCAATTTTGCAAGATTTGTTTTTTTTCAATTTTTCGATTTTTTAGCTTTTGATTTTCCGATTATACAGTTGTACAATTTTCCGATGTCTTATTTATCTGATTTTTCAATTTGTCATTTTTTGATTTTTTATTTTTTTATTTTTAGCAAGTACTAGCCCCACCGGCAATCCACCCAACATTTGTTTTCTTTGAAAAATAAATCATCTGCCAAAATTAATCTTATCTTGATAAGTACTAGCCCCGCCCACCCACCCTTTATTTTCTTAGAAGATATGACATTTGCCAAAATCAGTCTCATCTTGATAAGTACTAGCCCCGCCCACCCACCCTTTATTTTCTTAAAAGAGTGGGTCATCTGCCAAAATCAGTCTTATCTTGACAAGTACTAACCCCGCCCACCCACCCCTATTTTCTTAGAGGATCTATTATTTGCAAAAATCAGTCTCATACTTGCCAAGATAAGACCGATTTTGGCAGATGACATACCTTCCAAGAAAATAGAGGGTGGGTGGGCGGGGCGAGTGCGTTTTCTTAGAAAAGTAGGTCATTTGTCAAAATGTGTCCTATTTTGGCAAATACTAGCCTGGCCATCCGACTTTTGATTATTGCATTCATATTTTTTAGAATTGCTTAAACAGGTTATTCAAAAAAATTAATGATTTCAGTTTTCGTTTTTTTGAATTTAGATATTTTTTGGTTTTTAATTTTCCGACTTGTAATTTTTCTAGTTTTTAATTTAAAATTTTGCGATTTTTTAACTTTTGAATTTTGCAAATTTTCTTTTCGATTTTCAAGTTTCCCGATTTTTAATCTTTCGGATTTTCTGTTTTTCGTTACTTCAATTTATCGATTTGCTGTTTTAAATTTTTTGATGTTTCGATTTTTTAACTTTTGAATATTTTAATTTTTCGTTTCTTCATTTTTACGACTTTGGGATTGTTTAATCATTTTGTTTTTTAATTGTTCAATATCTTGATTTTTCACTTATCGAATTGTTAGATATTTTTCGTTTTTTTTTTTGGTTTTTAATTTTTTTTTTAATTTTTTTAGTTTTCAGTTTAAAAATTTTGTTTTCGATTTTGAAGTTCCCCACTTTTAATTTTTCGAATTTTCGCTTTTTGTTACTTCAATTTTATCGATTTAAAATTTGTTGATGTTTTGATTTTTGACTTTTTAAATATTTTATTTTTCAATTTCTCGGCTTTTCAACTTTTAGATTTCTCAGATTTGCCATTTTGTAAATTTTCGATATTTCGAATTTTCAGTTTGTCGTTTTTCAGTTTAGAGTTTTTAGCATATATTTATTCAACTTGTGAGTTTTCCAATTTTCAATTTTTCTTCTGGAAATTTCAGTTTTCCTATTTTTAATTTATCGTTTCTTCAATTTTTTCAGTTTTCAGTTTAAAATTTTTTGAGTTTTAATTTTAAATTTTTGAATTTACGATTTTTCATTTTTCGTTTTAATTTTTTCCATTTTTAATTTTTCGATTTTCAACATTTCGTTCTCCAATTTTTCGATTTTTTAACTTTTGAATTTTTTAGTTCTTCGATTTTTTATATTTTCGATTTTTGGTTTTTGGATTTTCCAGGTTTTTCTTCATTTTTACGCTTCTGGAATTTATAAATTTTTCAATCATTTTGTTATTTTATTTTTCAAAATTTCCATTTTGCTTTTTTTTTTAATTTTTCAATTTTACAATTATTTTGCAGTTTTTCGATTTATCAATTACTCGATTTTTCACTTATCGAATTTTTAGATGTTTTAAGTTTTCGTTTTCCCAGTGTTGATATGTGTCGTTTTAATTTTTCGACTTGTAATTTTCCTAGTTTTGAATTTAAAATTTTTCGATTTTAAATTTTTGATGTTTTGATTTTCGACTTTTGAATTTTGAATATATTTTTCAATTTCTCTGCTTTTCAACTTTTGAATTTTTCAGATTTGCAATTTTGTAATTTTTCGATATTCCGAATTTTCAATTTTTCGTTTTTTCATTTGTCGATTTGCAATTTTCCTACTTTTCAGTTTGAAATTTTTAGATTTTGCCACTCGTGAATTTTTTTATTTTTCCATTTTGCTTTTGGAATTTTCAGTTTTCCTAATTTTAATTTTTCTGTCTTCAATTTTTCGATTTGCAATTTTTCCAGTTTCAATTGTTAATTCTGAATTTTCATGTTTTTTAATTTTTCTTCTGGGCTTTTCATTTTTGAAATCAATTTTTTCCATTTTTAAGTTTCTAGGTTTTTTTATTTTTAGATTTTTCAACATTTGAATTTTTTAATTTTTCGATTTTTATATTCTGGATTTTTAGTTTTTGGATTTTTCACTTTTACGTTTTTGGGATTTAAAATTTTTGAATTATTTTACAGATTTTCGATTTTTCAATTATAGAATTTTTAGATATTTTATGTTTTCGTTTTTTCCAGTTTTCAATAAATTTTTTCTTTTGAATTTTGCAATTTTTTTTATTTTCTGTTTCCCGATTTTTAATTTTTTCACTTTTAATGCAGTTTTGTATTTTCAGTTTTTCGTTTCTTCAGTATTTTTAATTTGCAGATTTAAATTTTTTCATGTTTTAGTTTCGACTTGGAATTTTTTAATTTTTTGATTTTTCAATTTTTTAATTTTTCAGGTTTACAGCTTTATAATTTACAATTTTTCCAGCTTTTCGATTTTAAATTGTTCCATTTTTTAACCTGAATTTCCCGATTTCTCGATTTTTCAACTTTTGAATTTTCGAATTTTTTTGTTTCATTTTTACATTTTTAGGATTTACATTTTGCTTTTTTAATTTTGCAGTTGTTCAATTTTTCAGGTATGTAATTTTTAGATATTTTTAAGTTTTCCTTTTTTCCAATTTTGTTTTTTTTTGTGTACCAATTTTTAATTTTTCAGTTTCTGGATATTCAATTTTTCAGTTTTTCGTTCCATCAGTTTCTCGATTTGAATTTATAAATTTTTGGACTGTTTATTTTGAATTTTGTCATTTTTCGATTTTTCTTCTGGATTTTCCATTTTTGATTTTACTTTTTTCCATTTCCAATTTTTCGACATTTCGTTTGTCAGTTTTTCGATTTGCAATTTTTCCAGTTTTTCAATTTTAAACTTTTGAATCCGACTTTTAGTCATTGCATTCATATTTTTAGATTTGCTTAAACAGGTTATTCAAAACAATTAATGATTTCAATTTTCGTTTTTTTGAATTTTGATATATTTTGGTTTTTAATTTTCCGACTTGTAATTTTTCTAGTTTTTAATTTAAAATTTTGCGATTTTTTAACTTTTGAATTTTGCAAATTTTCTTTTCGATTTTCAAGTTTCCCGATTTTTAATCTTTCGGATTTCCTGTTTTTCGTTACTTCAATTTATGGATTTGCTGTTTTAAATTTTTTGATGTTTCGGTTTTTTAACTTTTGAGTTTTTTAATTTTTCGTTTCTTCATTTTTACGACTTTGGGATTTTTTAATCATTTTGTTTTTTAATTGATCAATATTTTGATTTTTCACTTATCGAATTGTTAGATATTTTAAGTTTTGGTATTTTTCGTTTTTTTTTTTTTGGTTTTTAATTTTTTGACTTGTAATTTTTCTAGTTTTCAGTTTAAAAATTTTGTTTTCGATTTTGAAGTTCCCCATTTTTAATTTTTCGAATTTTCGCTTTTTTGTTAGTTCAATTTTATCGATTTAAAATTTGTTGACGTTTCGATTTTTGACTTTTTAAATATTTTATTTTTCAATTTCTCGGCTTTTCAACTTTTAGAGATCTCAGATTTGCCATTTTGTAAATTTTCGATATTTCGAATTTTCAGTTTGTCGTTTTTCAGTTTAGAATTTTTAGAATATATTTATTCAACTTGTGAGTTTTCCAATTTTCAATTTTTCTTCTGGAAATTTCAGTTTTCCTATTTTTAATTTATTGTCTCTTCAATTTTTTCAGTTTTCAGCTTAAAATTTTTTGAGTTTTAATTTTAAATTTTTGAATTTACGAATTTTAATTTTTCGTTCTCCAATTTTTCGATTTTTTAACTTTTGAATTTTTTAGTTCTTCGATTTTTTATATTTTCGATTTTTGGTTTTTGGATTTTCCAGTTTTTTTTCTTCATTTTTACGCTTCTGGAATTTATAAATTTTTCAATCATTTTGTTATTTTATTTTTCAAAATTTCCATTTTGCATTTTTTTTAATTTTTCAATTTTACAATTATTTTGCAGTTTTTCGATTTATCAATTACT